GTGGCGGCGCAGCGTGGGGAGCAGCCTAACCCCCCCAGGGCAAGGAGCAGGCTGCCATCGGCCGATGAGCCGCGGGGGGCCTTTGGGCTGCTCCCGGCACCGGCCTGGCTCCCTCGTTAGCTCTGCATGCTGCCTGCATGGGGGTGCGCCTGGCCCCGCCCCACACCTCGCTGGCTTCCCTCCCAAAATGTTGTTTTCTTCCTTGCAGAATAAACCGCGCCTGCCTCCCATCTGCGCCGCTGCGCTTGCCCCTGGGCGGCTCTGCTTACAGAAAAGGCCGGCTCCAACCTAAACAGATGCTTCCGCTGTAAGCTAATCCTGCCACCGATGCCGCCGGGATGGGGAGGCCGCAGGGCTGCTGTGCGACACTCCACAGCAGTGAGTCCTCACCGAATCCTGGGTGACCTCGGGGGTCCCCCTCATCCTCTGCAGCTAGGCGACCATTTCGGGAGGTCCTGGCCCCAGGCAGGGGTGCAGAGCCACAAGCTGCTGCCCAGGGCAGGCAGCAGGGCCAGGGGCACTTGTTCACCTTGGAGGAGGGTGGCCAAGCTCCTGCAGCCGTCTGTCTGTCCACAAAAGCAGGGGACAGCTCAGCCCAGCTGCCACCCCTCGGCCAGGCAGCGCAGTCATCCATGACCCGCTGCAACTGCAGTGCTGACCCTCAGCCAAAAGACCCTCCCGGCTTAACTCCACAGGGACCTATTTTGGGCAGGAATGAGGAAGCTCTTCATTCCCTTGCTAAAAATAGGGACCTTTCTTGGAGCGGGGTCACGGCATTCACCCTCGCGAGCAGGACTGGGAAGGAAACGAGGAACTGGGGCCCCGCAAATCCCTGGCTTTCCCCGCGGAGAGCCCTGGCATGGCCGGTCCCAAAGGGTGGCCCTCATGGAGATGTGCCCCTTGCACACGTCAGGATGCTGGGACATGGCTAGGCCTTGTCCTCATGGAGCTAGTAGCCTGCTCCCTCCCCACGGTGGCATCTCCCCATGGCAGCGGTGGCCTTGGCTTTGCCAGTGTCCCCAAGGAGGGGGTGGCCGGGAAGGCGCAAGGAGGGGAGGTGGGATGTGGCATGAGCCTAACCAAGCAACTCCAACACCTCCATCTAGTGGCTTCTCTCTGGCTCTGCGAGTGGCCCAGGCCACCCTGTCCCTTACCTGTCCCCTGTCCTTAGGGCCTCCGTGCAAGCTAGCCCCAGCTCACCCCCCAGCCCCCAGCACCCGCAGGGTTGCAGCAACCTCCGAGCAGCTCCCTGGGTGGGAGCGGAGCACATGGCCCTGCACTGGTGCGTGCACGGGACAGGAAGGCACAGGCAGCACCTGCTCAGCTGAGCACCCCTTTATTGAGGGCTGAAGGAGGAGGAGGTGGGAGGGATGGGAGCCAGGCCCTGGGAGACACTGAGCCCGGGCTGAGCTGGAGCACAGCAGGACAAGCCCCTCGCTGGCTGCATGGTCTGGGCAGCTGGCCCAGCACCACGGGGACTGCTGCAGGTTTCGGGGAGTAACATAAGACATCCAGGTTATGGGGAGCCCTAGGGCCCCCGAGATAAGATAATACTTTGCTTGGATACAGCGCTGCTGGAGTGACTGTCCCGCCACCGCCACCAGGGCGACTGAGGCTCCGCATCTCTGCCCCAGGCTGGGTGGCCGAGCGGAGCTGGGGCAGGGACCCTGGGATCCTGCTCCCCTGCTGTAACATGGGCCGAGGCCGAGCCCTGGTTTTCAGCACAGCAGCAGGGAAGGGCACACGCACGGGACGCAGGCTCATGCGAAGACAGCCGAGTTTTGCCAGTAGGAGTAGACAAGGAATCCGGTGAAGGTGCTATCTGTCTTGACGCTGGCGTAGAAGCCGATGTAGTCCCCGACGCCCACCTGCACCCACACCTCATCCTCGGGCTCCAGGCGGACCAGGGCGCCCCCCGAGAGCGATGTGGGCTTCGGCCAATTCCCGTAGTACTGGAAGAAGGAGGCCACGGACTGGCCATTCTTCATGATGTCAAACTGGAGGCTGGCACGGTAGACGGTGGCGTGCACAGCGAAGTAGTAGAGGCCGGGCACCTCACAGGTGAACTTGCCTGTGGCGGGGTCATAGTGGCCCTGCTCCATGATGAGCACCACGTCGAAGCGGATGGGCTGGTCGGCCAGTGGCGGGCTGCGCGACTCGGAGCGCTTGGCGCTGAAGGCCGATCGAGGGGCCACCGCACACTCGCCCTGTGCACCCTTCTCACCGTGCAGGCCGTCCACGCCGGGGCTCCCCACCTCCCCGCGGGGGCCGGGGGGTCCTGGAGCCAGAGGCGAGGGAGAGCATCAGCACTGAGCTTTGGGCGACCACACTCCCCTGCCCAGCAGCCCGGCCCTGGTCTTGTACAGGAGCATGTGGGGAAGCCCTGTGAGTGCCGCGCACCCTATGCCACATCTCTAGGGAGGGGAGGTCACCAATATGTGTGACGTGGGTGCTGGATATCACCAGGACCCGAGAAAGGGGTTAAAGCAGGAGGGAACCAGGGGCACGTGCTGTCTGGGAAGCACAATGGGAATGGCAAGGTGACGAGAGGCCCAGGAAGGTGAGGGAGGTCCCAAAGAGAGCAGGTGCTGAAGTCAGATCTGGGCAGGAGAGATGGCTGACAGAGATGGGGAGAAATGCAGAAACCCCCATGGGCATTTCTGCAGGCAGGATTGGAGAGAGGCAGTGGTATGAAATGGGCACGTTTGTGGGAGCAGGACCCAAAAGCTTGGATTTTCCTCTCAGTTTGTCAGCGTGGGACTGTGTATGTCTAGCTGTGCCAGCATCTGGCCCAGGCAAAGCAAATTCCCCCTTCTGAGCCCAGATGACCCCTTCCTTACCAGGAGGACCCATCTCGCCCTTCTCGCCTGGTATCCCCATTGCCCCGTCCCGGCCATCTCGTCCATCTCTGCCTGGCAGCCCCTGGCCCCCGTGCAGGCCTGGGGTGCCTGGGATGCCTGGCTGTCCTGAGCAGAGCCTGGGGATTTTGTTGTCTTCGATCTGGGAAGAGTTGGCGATGAACCCAAGGAGGTAGAGTAGGAAGAGCTGCTTCATCTTGTCGACCATACAGGGGCTGGAAGGAGAGCAGAGAGGCTAACGGCTCTGCAGACCCCCGTGACGAGGCCTGGGAAAGGGGCTGGCAGTGCCTGGCAGGGTCTGGGGACAGGGAACTAGCTGCACCAGCATATAGCTCCTTCCCTTCTTTCCCCCTTGCCTTTCAGTGGCATCCCGTGATATGGCCTAGGTGCTATCAACTCCACCTGCTGCAGCATCCCTTGTGTCTGCCTGTGCTGTGGCACTGTCCTGCAGCCCTTCAGGACATTCTGCACCTCGCGGGGCTATCCTGCAACCTGCTGAGCTCTCCTGCACCCCAAGAGCTCTCTGCCCTGGACTGGCCATGGGATGGCTCATAGCAAGGCTGCACACACACACGCTGGGGCGCACGAGGCCACTGCACTGCAAAGGGGGGGCTGCGCGCTGCAAAGCAGGCAGTGTCTGCCCGCAGGGCCGTGCGTGGCACGAAGTTTTTGCCACCGGGCGGCGGCGCCGGGCCGCAGCGCGGCCCTGCTCTTGGCAACACCGCAGCGCCGGCGCCTCCCCCGCGCACCCGGCCGCAGGCCATCTCCTGGGGGCCGGAGCATCCCGCAGAGCACAGGCCGTGCCAGGGACCACCGCGCTGCACGGCTGCCCCCAGCGGTGCCGGCGCAGAGACAGCCGAGCCCCGGGGCCGGCGCTGGCCCCCTCCCCAAGGCCTTGGCCTGGCAGAGCCTCTCTCTTCCCCGTCCTGGACGTGACGGCGGAGGCAAAGAGGAAAAGGAGGAGAAAAGTGTCTCTCCTCCGCCCAGGCGCTGGAGCCAGGACCCCAGTTCTCCCTGAGTTGGGGCCAGCCCCAGATCCCTGGCACAGAGGATATGGAGCTGGTTCTCCCTACTCACCGCGATCCCAGTTCCTCTGGTCCCGGCACCTCACTCCTCTCCAGCTCTGAAGGGCTCTTCCTGACCACTTCGCTCTGACGAAGGCCCTAGGAAAGGCAGCCTCTCCACCCCCCCCTCCTCCTCATGTCTCTCCTCCCAAACTCCAGAGGAAATCAGGGGCCTTGGGAGCCAAAAGCTACAAGACAAGAGGAAAAAAGAAAAATAATCCTGTGGTGTCAGAAGTGCTGTAACCAGGGGGAGGGAGAGCGAGACAAACAGTCTATCAGAGGGAGGATGTTGTAGGATGAAAAACACCTCTGTAAAGCACATCTGGACACCCAAGCAGGAGGATGCAGGGAGGGGAAAAAAAGAAAAAAACACAAGCCACCATGTGAAGGAGAGAAAAAGGAAACAAGAAGGAGGGACACCCTGTAAACTAAAGAGGAAGAGGCACAAGCTGCTCTCCATCTCCCCAAGGGCAATTTGGGCATCTCCAGCCCTGCAAATGCATGGTTTGAGAGCTGCAAGAAGAGTGTGGGGGGTCCAGAGCAGAGCTGGGGTCTGAGCAGGCAGTGAGGGGCCAGGCAGCTGCAGATAAATGCGGATGTAAGCAAAGCAAAGTCGGGGCCATGCCAGAAGGAAGCCCAGCCCCAGAGGGGCTGCAGGGCACATGGCAGGGCTGGGATGATGCTGGGCTTTTGCAGGCGCTCCCAGCTCCCAGCCTTTAACTCGTTCCAGCGCCGAGTGCATCCAAGGGACAACATCAGGCGCTGAGTGGTCGGGGGTTACCCGTGGCCAGGGGAGTCCCCCTTTCCTGCAGCCAACTCTGGAAGCAGCCAGGACGTACAGCAGGATGAGCCCTCCGTGCCTGATGCCAGGGTATGGCTGTGCTGTGCTGGCTGCCAGGGCAGAGTGGTAGTGATCCGAGCAAGCTCCTTTTCCCATTCATTACGCTCAGCTGTGCAGGGCCAGGCAGGAGCCTTTCCCACGCGCCCGGGGCCAGGGGCAGGCAGAGGGCAGTAGGAACCATGCCGGCAGTGCTGGCTTCCTCCCTGCACAGGGCGCTTGCCGTGTTGTGGGTGACATTGCGCACGGCCCTGGATGCTCCAGATGCCCACAGCTACTCCTCTCTCCAAGGTGTAAAGAGGCTGTTGTTTTTGGCCAGCTGGGTGCTGGTTTGTGGGCATGGGATGTTGCCAGGCCTGTGGCCAGCCACGCTGACAGGCGCCAGCACAGCCAGCAGCAGCGCCATGGACTGTGCCGGGACTGGACCATCTCCCAGCCACCACTCAGACCTGCTCCGAGCCCCATACACCCCTCAGGGCAGTGCAAGACCCTTGGCCCATCTGTGTCACAGCCACCCACAACAGGGGCTGTCTCCCTGTCCCGTTGTTGCTGCCCAGATTTCCCCACAAGTCCTGGCTTCCTACTTTGGCCAGTGTCTCATTTTCCCCACTCCCCAAGGCAGGACCCACACACAGACCCTCCTCAAATGAGCTGCTGGACCCGCAGGGTTTGTCAACTGCTCCTGCTGTTTAATCTGCCCAGCTCCCACCACGAGCAGAGTCTCTGCAGCACCGTGCTGCTCATAGGGTTGTGCTGGTGCCACCTTAGCAGCTGCCTCTTTACAACTGGTGGAGGATGGGAGAGTTTTCGGGGGCAGGAGCAGCTCTGAGCAGCCTGCTTCAGGCCCGCTCCCCTCCTTGGTGTGCCTCAGGGCTGGAAGCACTCCACAGGGTCGCTGGAATCAGGCAGGATGTTGCAGTTGATGGGCCAGAGGATACCGAGGAGGCTGAGGGACTGCTGGCACCGCTGCTCGGCGGACAGGCACACGGTGCGGCAGGGCTGCAGGACGCCACCGTCTGGTATACACTTGGGCACGAAGAGGCTGCAGATGAAGGGGCGGAGGTGCTGGTAGCACGCGAGCTCCATGAGCATCTGCAGGAGAGCAGCCATGAGCACAGTGGGGTGGCAGGACCCCCGTGCCCGGCCCCAGCCCCTCACCTGGTAGTCCTGCAGCACCTCGGCAGCTCCCGCCTGGTCGGGGATCGCCAGCCAGATGTTGGGGAAAGATGTGGTATTATAGCTCAGGCCCAGGCACATCTCCACCTCCAAGGGCTCACAGACAGACCCTGCCAGGGTGAGAGGGGCTTCACTTCTTGTGGGTGGAGTGGTGCCCAGTGCATGTGCTACAGGTCCTGGGCTTGGCCAGGTTCACCCCCATTTGGTGCGAAACAGCCTGGGAGCAATGGGGGCTGCAGAGGGGCACCCCCGGGGGCAGAGCAGCATCATGCACCAGTGACCAGTCGTCCTGGGGACTGGCACTCACCAAAGGCTGGATAGGACATGCCAGTGCAGTTCAGCTCGTCGGTGCCGTCAGGGCAGTCGTGCCAGCCATCACACACGGATTCCAGCACCCGGCACTCACCGTTCCCGCAGGAGAACTCTGCCGGGCTGCAGGTCTCTGCCAGGAGAGGGCCCAGCACGGTGCCCAGCGGAGAGCAGAGTTAGCCCGTCCCCCTGCTGGCCGCCTGTTCCACACATTCACCTTTGCAGGGGATCCCGAATTCCCATGAGGGTGAAAGTTCCCGCCTGCATGCAGGCCTGCGGAGGCAGTGAGACAGGACACCCACGGTGCCCATGTCCCCCATAGCTAGGACTAGGGTAATTTTGTTGGAAAGATTGCTCTGGAGGTCTCTACCCCAGATAAAGCCTCTAGCCTTAGACACGTTGCCCAGGACTTCATCTAGGCTGAGAGCCATCAAGGATGAAGACAACCTTCCCAGCCAACCCACTTCTCAGCTGGGCTACCTACTCTCTGTGGCATTGCGGGCTTGATAGGTGGCAAAGAAGCCGTCATCTGCCACCCCCTCGTCTGCCACGAAGAGGACGGTCATGACGTGCCGCGAGGAGGTCAGGACGGGTGGCAACTGGTGGCCACAGAACCTGAGGAGGACGGGGAGTGAGGGATACTCAGGGCAGCCAGTGGACCCCAAAGCTGCCATCCCCACTCTGTCGTTCTGTTCTGTGCCTCAGTTTTCCCTGTGCCCATACCTGCCCATGAGGCTAGGGGCCCCAGTGCCTGCACTGTCGTGCACCTCCACAAAGTCAAAGCTGCAGTCCTCGTGCGGCTCCAGGCTGAAGTTGTGGAAGTGCAGGTCGATGATGTGGCCCAGGGGCACTGAGATCTGCCAGAGACAGAGCTGCAGGGCAGGAGGCAGCCCGCGAGACCCATGAAGGCGGGCAGGGACACCCCTGGCTCCCCTCGCCACGTGGTGGGAGGCTGCCTTCATCCCAGCATTGCCCTCCTCCTCCTCTCCCTGCATCAGCATCCCTGCTCTCACCTGCTGGTGTGGGTATGGCTGGGGATGGCTGGGAGTGGAGAAATGTCCCTCCAAGGCAGTCAGTGGCCCCCCGCACTCTGGAGGGAACACACACACCAGGTCACCCTCTGCCCCTGCAACCTTTCCCTTCACCCCTTCTTTACTTCCCCACACTGAGCCATTGAGCCAGGGTTGCAGGGCACAGGGTGCAGTGGGTACAGGGAATGAGGGCAGCCAACCCTTGTGCTTCAGGCTGCAGTTGGCCTCATCGCTCCGGTCGGCGCAGTCGTGGAAGCCGTCGCACACGAATCCCAGCTGCAGGCAGAGCCCTTGGTCGCAGAAATGCTCATCCCAGGCGCAGCTCTCTGCAGGGAACACGTGTGGACAGGCTGGCAGCGGCACCCTGAGGGGGGACCCCTGTGCTGGCACCCATGGCGTTACCCACTCTCACTGGGGGCCACGGCACGGTAGCGGGCACTGAAGCCTGGAGCACCCACACTGCTGTCGGAGACGAAGGTGACCCGCAGCTGGTTGGAATCGGTGTTGAAGGTCGGGGGGGCCACGGTGCCACAAAACCTGGGTGCGTGGAGATGAGGGAAGCTTGTACCCCCAGAGTACGCCCATCCCTCTGCTCCTGCAGCCTCTGCCTACCTGGCCATGCCACCCCGAGCTGGGGCACCAGAGCTACCATCTGCCGACGGCTCCTCGTAGAGCTCCAGGCGGTCGAAGAGGCAGGACGCTGTGCCCTCCACACTGAACGCCTCCACCTGCAGCTGGATGCCCAGGCCCGGTGCCACCTCAATGCGCCAGACACACAGGGCGTTGGGCGGGTAGGGCGACGGGTAGTTGGGCGAACTGAAGGTGCCCTCGGGACCCCTCAGGGTCCCACCACAACCTGCACAGGCAACATGGCCAGGCGGTGAGGCGGCATCCCTGGTGTCCCCCCACAACGCTGCTGCCCCACAACTGGTGACTTACCCGGTGTTGGCGTGCCAGCCGCAGGTGGCTGGCTCTGGGCTGGGATGGCTGCTGCATCAGGGGCTGTGGGGTCCCGGTGGGTGGGTGCTGTGGTGGTGTTGGCAATGCTGTGGGCGGGTAAAGCAGCAGGCGGGGAGCCAGGCAGCTGCGGGGACTTGAACTCTGCTCCGAGCAGGAAGAGCAGTGGGATGGGGTTTAGAAACCCCACTGTCTGCTGCTCTGTGTACATGGAGCCCGGGGGACCTCACACCACTGCCCATAGCATCCCGCGTGGAGCCTAGATCCCTCTATCCATGGCAGGCGGATCCTGGGAGACCCCACAGAGCCGTGCACTTGCTGCCCCACATCCCAGGCCTGGCTCAGCCCTCCCTCCCCACATTCCCCCTTGTATCTGTCCCCGCCTGCCCTGTCCCTGCCGTGGTGGCACAGGCCTCGCCAGCCCAGCACTCACGGTGGATGACGATGCCCAACAGAAGGGCGATGAGGAAGAGGAGCAAGGCGCTCATCAGTGCCACACAGAGCCAGGTGAACCTGCAGTCAGACCGGTACTGGCCCCAGTGCCGCTGGCCTGCAGGAGGGTGGGCAAAGCAGATGCCCAAACAGCAGCATGCAGCTTAGCCATGCCTGGATCCACCACCTGCCTGCGTGGCAGGCTGAGCATGCCACAGCCACTCATCCCGAAGGTGTTGCAGGACCCCTAAGCTGCCCCACACCCTGGCAGTGAACTCTCTCTGCCCCTAGGACCTGCTGGCACAGTGCTACCATGGACATGGGTGTGCATACAAACCCTCAGGGTGGTCCCGAGGCAATTCCTCCTCCTCTCCATGGGGTGGGTGCTCAGCAAGTGACGCTGCTGGAGTCTCCTTGCCCTCAAAGACAGGGTTGCAGAACTCGGTCTGCAAGAGAGCGATGGCACTATGGGGATTTGGGGGGCACCCCCACTGTGGCCATGTTAGCCTGCCCCCCCTCCTTACCTTGCTGCAGTCCAGCGCCTCGGGGCACAGCGTGATCTCCTCAAAGTCTCTCATGGCCACAGGCGAGTCCTGTTGCCACCTGGTTAAAAGCCTTCTCAGTGCAAGCTGCTGCCCAGCACGGACACTGGCCCCACTACCCCCTCACCCTTGGCTGCCATCAGTCTTTCGAGGGTCCCTGTGTCCAGGGAGGGATGCAGGTGGCTCTGGCTGGGCCTACGTACCTGGCCGCCCCTGCCTGTGCTGGGACCAGACAGCCATGCCTGTGGGCAAACTTGTGGGAAGAGAGCAGCTCCAGAGGGCCCCTCCGCCGGCCCCTTCCCTCATGGCCCAGTTAATCCAACTCAGCTGAGGATGCCGAGTTCTGACCCTGGCACAGGGAGCCAGCGTCTTAAAGGGGAAGGCATGCTTGCACCAGCAGCAACGGGATCCTTGTGGGATGCTGTGTGAGGCAGGAGTCTGACAGGGGCTTGGGGGCTGCAGAGACCCAGCAATCTCCTCTGCATGATGTTTGCAAGGTGTACTTGTGGAGGCAGAAACCCAAGCTCCAGGAAAGCGCTGGCTGTGGAGAGACTGTAGGTTTGCCCGGTGCCCCGGTGTTTTGGGAGCAGGGGCTGGTCTTGTCCCCATCTTGCTCAGCAATCTGCACTCCAGCTGCCCCCTTAAAGCCTTAGTGCTCAGCCCCGGTGCTGAAAGCGTGTGAGAAAATGACCCTTGTTCGGAGGGTTTGGGGCAGCGCTGGCCCCTCCAGATGGCTGAGGTGGAGGGAAGGCTCCACAGCCCCCGAGCAGATGGAGAAGATGGACCAGCCAATGGAGCCAGCCCAGCCCCATTTCCCTGGCCCTGGACAACCCTCAGTTTCCCTCCTGTAGCTGTTCTAAGGACAAGCGCACCCACACAAGGCTCGGTACAAGCTCATGTTTATTCCCACATGCGTCTCCCTTGCACGAGACGCTCACTGCCCACCTTGCTTACACAGTAAACAAGCTGTCTGCCTGCCAGCAGCGTTGTCCCGTGCCAGCACTGCTCACCCCTTCGTCCTGGCCCCATGCAGGGCTTGGAGGGCAGCTCGGTGGGACGGAGCTGCCCTTGGCAGGCTGGTGTGGGGCGATGTGGGTTGAGTGACCTCCCCTCCTGCCATGCACTGGCCAGGGCAGGACAGGGAGGAGAATAAATTAGACGAAAGGCTAAAAAGACCACTGGCATTTGCTAGCTGGAGGACAGAGCAGTGGAGCTGGGCATCCAGGAGGCTGATGGCCACTGGGAGGATGAAGCCGAGGAGCGGACAGTTCCCGCTACCCTTTCTCCATCCCCTATACCAGGATGGATGCAGCTGGGTAGCCCCGATGGCCTCCCACCCCCTAAATGGTTTAAGGCACCGTCGTATGAGGAGGCAGGAAATACCCAAGTGAAGCGTGCCCCGGCACTAGTCCCGCAAAGTAGAGGGGCGCTCGGGGTGACAAAAGTCCATTATAAATACAAATAAACTCCACAAAATGTTCTCTTTTTTTCATCCTCCTCCTCCTCTCTGAGAGTTTCAGCCTGGATCCAGGCAGCTTCGAGGGGTGCCAGGAGGGCAGCTTTTGGGGCTATGTGCTCCAGAATGGAGGCTGAGTTCCTTCGCCAGGTGATCCGGAAGTGCTGGCAGCAGCTTGCGATTCATCCGGGAAGGCCGAGCTGAAGGGGAGCAAAGGAGGAGCTACCAGGTCCCCAGCTCTCCCGGTGGGAGCAGCAGTCCAAGCTAAGTCAGTGGGGCAGGTGGCCCCGTGCCTGCCGAGTCCCCTGCTCAGTACTTTTATTACACACGAAGGAAAAGAAAAAGGAGAAAGAAAGAAAACCAACCCCAAAGTGCGAATCAAATGCCAGTGACCAGGAGGTGCCTGAGGTGCCTGGGCCCTGCCCTGCCACGGCTGCTCTCCTTGGTTCGCTGTCAGTGTCCTCGTCCCCTGGGCTCCACTTCTCAACCACCGCCGTGTGGGTCTCTGCCCCCATGGCCATGGTCAGTGCGGATGGTCCCTGGGGCGGACAGGCTGGCTACATGCGTGACGAGGGGCTGGCCAGCTCGTAGAAGAGCAGGTAGGCATCGCTGCTGCGGACGTGGCTGGACGACATGGGGGTGACACTGCGGAGAAGTGGGGAGATGTGGCGTGAGCAGCAGGGAGCATCCCCGCCGTGGGGGCACCCCAACATGGGTGATGTCAGCTGGAGGGGGTCTCCCCTCTCCAGCCCCATGGCGTTGCTCCCCGGACCCTCCCTATCACCTCTGTGGCCTCACCGGGAGTCGTTGAAGCTGTGCCACTCACTGGAGACAGGGCTCTTGCAGAAGGCGGTGTAGTGTCCCCCCATGGTGGTGCCGGAATGGTTGGAGACAGCGTAGAGGTTGTAAACAGCGTGGTCTGTGGGGTGCAAAGGAGGCACTCAGCGGTGCTGCGTGCTTCCCCCATGTCTCCCTCTGTGGCATCCAGGAGAGACCCTTGGCCATCCCCCATGCTATGTCCCCTCCCCCCACCATGTGCTGGCAGGGATCCCAGGGGGATCAGCACATGAGCATCTCACATTCTGAGATGTCCTCTCCTGTTTGCAGGGCCACGAGTGGATGCAAGGGACCCCATCCCGGGGCCATGCAGCCTCAGCACTCACTGCAGCTCTGTGAGGCGAACTCCCGGAGGTCCAGGTCCTTCAGCTGGAAGTTGACAAAGGTGGTGAGCTTGCTTGTCCGTATTCTGGCCTCGGAGAAACGCTTCAGGTCTGCAGGGTAGGTGTCAAGGAAACAGGCAACCAAGGGATGCAGTAGCACCCAGACCCCCACCTTGCCACCAGCACCACCAGCCCTGGCCCCGTGCCCCAGCCTGAAGGATACGAAGCACCAGGATCTTGGGGAACTTCTGGATGCTGAATTTCTTTGTGCACCTTGTCCTGGCTTTGCAGCGACAACAAGTCTGCAGGAGATAAACCATATGAGCAAGGGCCCGGGAACAACCAGTCATGCAGGACACGGAGACTAGGAGCCCTGGGGATGTGGGACCAAGGAGAATGGGCCCAGATGAGTCCAAGGAAGGGCTCCCATCCCCATAGCCCGTACCGGTTTCTCGTCGCCATCTAGCACATCCTCTTTGGTGAAGAGTCGTAGGCAGTCCATGAGTGTCACCTCACCATAGCCCTTCTGTGGGAGCACAGAGCAGGGTCAGGGCACATGGGGGGACAGCAGGGACACACATGGGACTGGGGCCACCCTACCTTGGGGATGGGCAGGGACAGGTCCCAGAACGGGTCGAAAGCCGTGGAGCAGTAGCCACATTCACCGCAGGTCAGCGAGCTCTTTAGCTGCCCGACAAAGAGGTCTAGGAGGGACAAGGAGGGATGAGACACCCCCAGCTCCTGCTGCCTACCCTGCCCTCCCTCCACACAGCTCCATTTCCCTTCCCAGGTCCGCCACTCACCCCCGATCCGGCTGTCCTCTCTCTCCTGGTATCTCCTCCACATCTGCCGGCTCTTCTCATCGTCCCTGGGGGAGATGGGGAGACGAGGGAGTGAGGAGTCGCATCGCAGTCCTATCTCCCAGCTTGCTGGCAGCGCGGTACCTTTATCCATGGGGGCAGTTGGCATCTGCCTCCCAACCCACTCCCAGCCCGTCACTTACGGGAGGTGATCCAGGGTGTCTGTAGCGGCCCGTGGCCGGACGAGCACCCGGTTCACCTCGCTGTGCAGTCCATCCAGGAGGAAGCGCAGGAACTCCTGGGCGTCCTGCTGGCTGCAGGAGACATGGGGTATGGCGGTGAGCAGCTGTGCATGGCTTGGCCCCTGCCCTGTGAGTAGTCCCAGCATCCCCTTACTTGTATCCGACAAAGCGCGGGGCGTATCGCTGGATCTGCGTCTTGAACTCGGAGGGGCTCACGGAGTCATTGGGAGATGAGGTCCATAGCAGCTGGATCAGCTTTGCAAACTCTGCAGGCAGAGGGGCTGCTCAGCAGGGCGACCAAATCGGGGAACTCAGCACAACAATGCCTGCAGCTGCTGGGGGCAAGCGGGATGGATGGGGGTCCCCAGGACACACAACGAGGGGAGGGAGGCCCATGGCATGGTGCTCACCAGACATGAGCGCAGTACGCATGCGGCTGCTGTTGTTGAGGTCCCGCAGGTACTGGTTCTGCAGGCAGTAATCCCGCAGCTCCTTGGTGTTGCTCAGGCACTGCAGGATGGAGTTCATGAAGCACTGGGGGAGGCAGAGAGGAAAACCATGGCAACAGAGGCAGCGGAAGGCAGGCGGTGGCAGGGTGGGGGGATGCTGGGGCGAACGGGCAGGGGACAAGGATGGTGCGAGGAGTCGAGTTCTCTGCACGGGTACGGCTGCCTCGTGGGAGTGAGCGTGCGGTGCGGGGCCGGGATGGCAGCACCACGCACCTGCAGAGCAGAGTGCATGCGGGGCGGGCACTCACCGTGTTGCCGAGGTTGCGCAGGCCGGTCAGCCCTTGCACCGCCTTGGAGCTCTGCGGAGAGAGGGAGCGGGGGGTGAAAGGGGCTCTGGCACGCATGCACCGAGTCTCTCACCAGCCCCACAGCCCAGCGGAGCCTGGCTGAGCACGCAGACACGGCCGGACAGCCCCATCCCGATGGCCAGTTTGGGGCTGCTCAGCTCCCGGAACAGCGCACAGGGCTCAAAGTCCTTCCCGCGCAATTGCACTGCTGCCTCTTGCCATGCACATGCCCCGTGCCTTGCCCACATTTGCTGCGCACAAGTGCAGCCTGGACTTCGGCATGAGCTTTTTTTTTCTTGTGGGGTAAAGTCCACGATGCAAAGTGCGAGTGGAGTCTCAGGGCAGCTGGCCCACCTCGGCATGCTCTGTGCGCTGCCCATCCCGCAGTGCCACCTGGCTGCGGTGTGCATGCACAAAGGAGGGACTTTTGTGCCCTGAACTGTGCCACGAGCTGGACTGGCTTGTGCCCCATGAAAAGATGGAAAAGGGCAGCTGT